ATCATGACTTACTTTCCAGTCTGACTCTGGCATGAGGGAACAAGTTGAAATGTTTTACCCCAAAATATGTTTCCTTGCCATACCTTGAAATTGCCCTGCAAAGTCTCTTGTGGGAAAAAAATCCACATTCTACAAAGAATTCCTTTCCACTTTGTTTTCCTTCCTTTCTTTCCAGATTCAGGATAATCAATAAGAGCCAGGTACCCTTTTAAGTCTGATATGAAACATTTTACAACCTGCTCTTGCTCTGAAGTCTACTATCTGAGAGATTCCTCTGCACAATAAAACTTGGTCTCCACAATCCTCTGACTTACCCTGAGCATTCCTTTCCATTGATCCCAGGTCTTCAGATAAACTCAACCAATTGTTAACCCGGAAATGTTTTAATTTACCTACAGCCTGGAAGCCTCGCCCAACCCCCACTTTGAGTTTTCCTGCCTTTCTGAACCAAACCAATGTATTTCTTAAATATATTTGATTGATGTCTCATGCCTCCCTAAAAATATATAAAACCAAGCTGTACCCCTGCCACCTTGGGCGCATGTTCTCCTGAGGGCTGTGTCAAAGGCCATGGTCATATTTCCTATTTGGCTCAGAATAAATCTCTGAAAATATTTTATGGAATTTGACTCTTCTCATTGACAGTAGTTTCAATTATCTGTTATAATTCCTAGCATTTTTAACTTTAAGATAAAACTTGGTAAGTTGCTTTAATTGCGTACTAACTGCAGCCAAGGTTTGCTTCTTAATTAAGGGTCTGTTTATTCCCTATGTCCCCAATTGTAAAGCCAGGAAGTCAAATAGTTCTCAAAACCCAAAAAGTGCTTTCTACCCTTAAAACACGTAGCAAATCTTGCATCTGATCTGCAGTTTGCCAGTAATCTTAAGGCTGTTTTTATTTCTCAAAGATTAAAGTCATGTGAACAGAAAGGTCCTACAGATTTTATATTCCCTTTAACAATTACTTGATCCAAGCGCTTGTCTTACTTTGCGACAAATTCATCAGAGCTCTTTCGACAGACATTACACACAGTAGTACACACACAGACACGCAGAAGAAAATCTAGTTGCTGGATGGGGCCGTTTAAGAGACAGGGCTGGGAAAACATACAGATACCAAACCAGAAAGAAACTTATTCCCTAACACAGGATTGCTAAACAAAGCTTTGCCAAGCAGTTACAGGCCATGCCACCAGGATGTAAAAACAATATGGAGGCTTGTAGTATAAACCATACAGACAGGCAAAGCACACCAGATTGGCCACAGCCCAAGACTAGCCCCACAAATCCTTTTTTACAATTAAGCTTTACAGAAAAAATAAACAGTGATCATTAGGGAGAGGGGATCTGGCTTAGCAAAGGGGGAAAATATCTTTAAAGCTTAACTCCTGATGGGGTGGAGAAGGGGAAAGAGAAGAGTTTTTAAATATCTGGGGAAGAACTTCTTATTTTTATGCAACTAATTCCTCCACCAGGAAGAAAAGATTAAGCTTAATTACTGTCCAATAGAGTTAACCCCATTAGCCAGGGAAGGGGAAGGCTGCGGCAGCAGGGAGTGGGGATCAGCTGGGCGCTGCTGTTTACCAGGTCCTGAAAAAGGAAGAAAAAGACCAGGTAAAGGTCCCCGACCCCAGGAAGTGACAGGGGGTGATGGTGTGGTTTCCCATAAGCTCAGAAGTCCAAAGAAGAAAAGGCTTAGAAGCCACAGCAAGATGTTTTGTGTTCCCCTTTTAGTCACCACTTCTTGAGTCCCCACTTTGCACACCAAGAATGTTGCAGGACTTTTCCTTAGTGCAGCAGTAAATACTGCCAAACAGTTTTCTAAAGTGTACTAATTTCCACTCCCACAAGCAATGTAGAATAGTTTTTGTTGCTCCACATCCTCATCAACACTTGGCATCCTCAGTGCTTTAATTTTAGCAGTTTAGTGCTATCTCATTGTTGTTTCACTTTATATTTCCCTGATAACTAATAATGTCGAGCACCTTTTTATATGTGGGTTGACCATTTGGATATTCTCTTTTGTGAAGTGTTTAAATCTTTTCACAGATTTTTACAATAAGATTTTAAATCTGTTTTGTTATTGATTTGTGAGAGTTCATTGTATATTCTGGAAATGATATTGTTATACCTGAGCGAGTTGGAAGGAAAGCGCCACACTCTAAGTTCCAATTGAGAGTCCTTTATTGCCAGTGACCAAGAGACGGCAGCTAATGCTCAAAATTCTCTCGGCCCAGAAGAAGGGGCTTGATTCCTTTTTATACCTTGCTTAAGATAGACGAGGGGGAGTCTAGCTGAAGTGGAATTTACAGAAACAGAACAAGCAAGTTAGATAAGGAGGCTGGTAACTAGGAGGCAGGAGGTTCCCATGATTGTTAATTACTAAAGACGGTGTACACAAGCAGTTCTTATGATTGCTGGTTACCAAGGGGGGTATTCAGTACTTGCCATACAATCAAGGGGGGTATTACAATAGCAATTGGGCTTTCCAAGCAGGATATGGTTACAATGGTTATATGCCTCTATAGCTCTAAGTACAGCATGACCCAGCACAGTAGCATGTCCCAGGTATGCACTTAAGGGAGAAATGGTTGGAGGGGTGAGGCAGAGTTTAAGATGGAGTCTGTCTGGCTCTCAGCAAGATGGCATCTGTCAGGCCAACACAGAGTAGGTTAGCACAATACTATATTGTATATATGGACTGGAGGTACCTTCTAATTTATGGCTTGGCTTTTTACTCTTTCAGTGTTGTTTGAGTAAAGATTTAAATTTTAATGGAATTCAACTTAGCAATCTTTTCTTTTGTGATTAATGGTTTCTGTGTTCTTTTCAAGAAATCTTTGCTATCCCAAGTTCATGAAGAATGTTTTCTTGTAGATGCTTTATTGTTTTACCTTTCACATTTATTTCTATGATTATCTTTAGTTTTTATGCATGGTGTGAAGGTTCAAGGTTCAGCGTTTTTCTATATAGATATTGTATTGACCCAGAACCATTTAGTAAAATGACCATCCATTTTCCACTGAATTGAGTAACCTTTCTGTGGTAAATAAGGAGACCATATGTTTGGGGTATGTTTTTGTTTTTCTGTATGGGTACCAACACCACATTATGTTTTTTATATCTGGTAGTTTAAGCTCTCTAGCTTATCTTCTTTAATTTTAAGCTCTCTAGCTTGTCTTAATAGTAAATTAAATTAATTTACTTTTTTAGCTTTTCTTCTGTAGTTATATATAAATTTGAGAATCAGCTTGTCAGTTTCCCACACATACACATATGTCCCATACTGTTGGGATTTTAATTGGTATTGCTCTGAATCTAGAGATAAAACTGAGAACTGACATCTTAATAAATTTAAGTCATGCATTCTAATACTTTTAAGTCATGCATTCTAAGTATTTTGTTTATCCCTTCACTTATTTAGGTCTTTAATTTCTCTCAGGCATGTTTGGTAGATTTTAGTGTTCAGATCTTGAATGAGGTGTTTGGGTTTAATAAAAATGACTATGAATCTGAATTAATAATTGGTAATGTTTATAAAATCTCAAATAATTTTACTATTTTTTAGAGGCTGCAATTGTGTTAAGATCTCTGAGATAGCAATTTCCATATTAGCTAAGCAATATCTAAAAGTATTTAGTATTATAATTTCACTTACTTTACAAATTGTGTTCAAAATGTTTTTTGCAATGTAGTTGCTTCTTACTTTTAAATTTGATTAAATGGTAGGATTATTTAGAATCTAATTTATTTTCTGGTTAAGTATATTAAGATGGTACCCTGTTGCCACACCTGAGGTCTGTGATATATTTCTTAAATAAAGGGGGAACTGGTGAATTGGAAGTTTCAGTTTGGTTTTAAGTAGTTTACCTCCTCTATATCAAAAACTTCTCGCTGGACATGGTGACTCACGCCTGTAATACCAGCACTTTGGGAGGCCAAGATGGGTGGATCACAAGATCAGGAGTCCAAGACCAGCCTGACCAACATGGTGAAACTTTGTCTCTACTAAAAATCCAAAAATTTTGGGGCTTGGTGGTGTGCCAGGCTTGGTGGTATGCACCTGTAGTCTCAGCTACTCAGGAGGCTAAGGCAGGAGAATCGCTTGAACCTGGGAAGTGGAGATTGCAGTGAGCCCATATCGTACCACTGCACTCCAGCATGGTGACAGAATAAGATTCCGTCTCAAAAAACAAACCAAAAAACTTCTAAGTTGTTAAACCCAAACATCAATTTTAAACACAGAGAATTAAAGTTGTGATTGCATGATGCCAAAATATTTAATCAATTTAGTTTGAATTTTTAAACTAAGAGTCTTAACTGTCCAGTAGTACAGTTATCTTGGCATAATTCAAAAATTGGCTGTAATTTTGTCTGAATTAACTAGTAAATTTGCAGAAGCTAACCTGATTCCATTTAAACATATCCTAAGATGTTGAAAAATTGATGTTTGCATATTTGTTACCATATTAGTTTGTAGTGAGTAATATAAAACATGTACATTCACTGAGTTGAGACTATCTTTTATTTCTTTGAATATCACTAAGTGCCTTAGCACAAAAGTAAACTTTCTCAGTGATTTTATCTATTTTTTAAAAGTATAGACTACTTTTATATGGTAGAGGTCTTTGCTTCTTAAATTTTATTTTGGTAACTTCCATGTATGTTCCCTTTAGTTTTAAAAGTTTAGTATCACCCAACACCAAAACTTGAATTAAAGTTGTGATAAAATATAGTAGTAGTTCACTTGTTTTACTATTGTACGTTGAATATGAAAGTTTAATGATGTTAAAACTAGCTTATTTCTAAATGTCAAGGATACATAAAGTGTTCAGATAATAGTTATGTTTTTATCCTCATTTTACAGAAATTTAATAAATGGTTTAATTTATTTCCATTTTATATTAAGTTTCTGACTGTACTGTGTATTTCAAAGTCATTTGAAGAATTTGATAGAAAACATAATGCAAATCTTCTGTGCTTTTTTTTTTCCTTAATAGAAGAGTCATGCCCTATCCTGAGAGTAGAGAGACATCAGCTGACATATGACAATATAAACAAACTTGAAGTTTCAGGTATGCAATATAATCCTTTGCAAAATAATATTTTATGTAAAATTATCACCAGATACTAGATATGGAATACATGTAGGTGAATCTTTGACACTCCAATTTAAGATCATAGCATTAATGTAAAAATGTTAAGAATTATTTTTATTTTTTATTTTTTTGAGACAGAGTCTCACTCTGTCGCTCAGGCTGGAGTGCAGTCATGCAGTATCAGCCTGCTGCAATCTCCACCTTCTGGTCAAGCAGTTCTCCTGCCTCAGCCTCCTGAGTAGCTGGGACTACAAGTGCATGGCTAATTTTTATAATTTTCGTAGAGATGGTGTTTCACCATGTTGGCCAGGCTGGTCTCTAACTCCTGGCTTCAAATGCTTCATTTGCCTTGGCTTTCCACAGTGCTGGGACTGCCGGCATGAGCCACCACACCTGGCCCACAAAAATTTAAGGTAGATGATGTAGAAAAAATTCTGAGAGCAGGATTCTATATGTTTAATCTGTGATCAACAACATCTCAACCTCTTGGAGAAAAAAAAGGTTATTTAAAATTATAAAAGTTGTGCCCATTGTAGACATTTTGGAAGAAGAAAAAAAAATTGTGAGAAGAAGGATGTCACCACCCAGATAAAGACAAGATTACCATTTTGGTTATCCTTTTTATCTTTCCTTTTGGTAATCTTTCTATCTCCTTCTTTTCCTCTTCCTCCTCTTCTCTTTCTCTCCACACTCATAATTCTTCCATTCCATTTTTCTTCTCATCAGTATACATTCTTTAAAGCATAATTTTTAAAAAGTCTGCTTAGATTTAAACTGAATGGCTGTACTATTTTAAATCTAATTTTCTTTCTTTAGACATCAGAGCTGCTACAGTGAGTTACACTAATTTTTACTTAAGATAATTCCTAGGGTAAAGGAAATTAAAATTGAGTTTCTTTTGAAATATATTTATGAATTTTTTTTTTCCAGAAAAGTAGCTCTATGTTCTATATGGCAAAGTGAATCTCATTCTCTTTTACCCTAAAAGGAGAAAAATATACTCAGGAGGCTGAGGCAGGAGAATTGCCTGAACCCAGGAGGTGGAGGTTGTGGTGAGCCGAGATCGTGCTATTGCACTCCAGCCTGGGTAACAAGAGCGAAAATTCGTCTAAAAAAAATAAAAAAGGAGAAAAATAAAATCAAGACATTTTGCTGATCCCAAGCAGCAAGATTTTATTTGAAGTAGATCAATCAATAGTTAAGGGCAACACAAAATCCTGTTTAGAAATCAACATTTCTATTAGTTTATTAAATTCAATAAAACTGCTGTATTGAATCGTTTGTTACCTTTTACAGGTTTTGATCTAGGAGAGAGATTTTCTTTGAGACGTGCATTTTGTGAAAGTGATAAAACCTGTTTCAAATTGGGAAGTGCACTTCTTATTAGAGACACTATGTAAGTAAAAAAATATTTTCTTTATGTTTAATAATATGTCATAAATTATTTTCTAAGGAGATTTCAAATAATTTGTTTTAAAAATAAAGTTTCTTAATAGCATCATCCTCACTGGAATGCAGTGGTAAGTGTATTTGTTAATGTATTTGTTGTTTATAAAAATCATTGCAATCTAATCTTTGTTCTACAGTGTAAATACCATTTATACGTACAGAAAAAGGCATGGTCATTAAAGAATAATAATTAAATCCATTTCTGAAGAAATATTGTTATGTTTAAAGTAGATGTTTTAGTTTTTTCAGTGTAAACATTAAAACATAAGGCATTATATAGATTCAGAGCCAAAAGACTGATATTTATTATATATATTTTTGGATTTTCTATGCTTCCTAAGTTAAAATAACAGAATTTAGCTCTTATGTGCTTCTTTCATCTATTCTCCATGTATAGAGTACATGGTAAATAAAAAGCTGTTACGTGCTTTTATTTTTAGTCTTGATACTCATTTAATTTTAAAACAGATTTACCAAAGGTTTCCCTTGTTATTTTTATTTTCTGTTTTCTATGGATACACTCAGAGTTAAAAAAAGAAATCACTTTCCATTCAAATAGTGACAATTTATCAGCAACCTTACAGGGCAACAGTGATTCCCCATATAGCTGGCAATAATTAAAGGATGAATTGATAGTAATTCAGAAAGCTGAGTCATCATACAGCCAGGTAGCACATATGGTCAGGATAATTATTCCTGGAGTCCAAGCTAAATATTCCCATATATGAATATACTGCAATAAAAATCCATCAAAATTCTATTTGGCTTAATATGCAGCACAAATGTTTTTATGTGAAAATATGTATGTATGTTTTCACTTCCTGGGCAGTAGCCTAATATTTAAGACAGACAAGACTGGAACAGTTTCAAAATTTGAATTCTTAAAGGCAAATAGCATTAATCATCTCATTGCCCTTCCTCAGATGTTCTGGGTGAATGAGGTTCATAACTCACATTTTCCTTGAGAAAAGTTTCTTTTAAACTGATTTTGTGATACTTTGGTAATTTTCATTTAATGACTGAAATGGTTCCTTAAAAGTAAACTGCTTAATACTTAACAAGAAACAAGAATATTAAGGAAGGAAGGAATTTCAAATCAGGGGATATAATGGGTGATTATTAGGTGGGACACTTCAGCAGATGTAGCTGTATGGGTGTGTGCTACAGCGGCCGCTGTTTAGGTGGTCTCATAAGCAGGCATTAAACTCTCAGGGCACAGCAATTCCATGCTTAAGTATGCATATGTCATAAAGAAAAAATGAGAGGCACAATATTTCTTACGTGTATATTCTCTCCCACTGTCTTCTTTTGGATTTAAACCCCTGTAATTCTGGTCAGATGGCAAAACGATTGGAGTGAAACTTTTTAAAATTCATTGGACTACCTGTGAGAAGACTACAGCTAATTTTAAGTAGCTACGTTGGAAAACTTGCTGCCACATTTAGACAATGCTATTTTTTCTATGAATTCATGTGATAAATATTAGGCATGACTTGGAATTTGTTTTCTGAATTTTGGGTTCTAATTCACTGCCCAATCCATGGGTAATAAATGTAAGTGAATTTGCTGGTTCTTTGGAGTAGAACCCTGGTACCTCCACTAAAGGAAACCAGGGAGTGTCTGGTTTAGCTGACCAGCGAGTGTCAAGTAGCTTGGCTCATTTCCACTTACATTTCACTTGTTGAGCCAAGTATGCTAGGATGCTTCTCTTGCATGATGCCATTTCGATTTTTCAATGAGACTGGAGTAAAGTTGCAGCTGTTTATATATTTGTAAATAAGCTGCTTTGCAGAGTCAGCATGGGAAAAGGCAGATACTATGTTATATGGAAAATGCGGATACTTTCTGTGCCTGAGCTCGCTTTTATTTTTCTGGCATATCCCAGGTGAGATTCATGAGAGGAGAGGCTAATAAGTATGTTGGTCTGATACCTGTTAGGCATACTCAATGCCTTGAAGCTTGCTTAATGTAAAAATCCCAAAGATTGCTTTTGCAGGGCTTACCAGATAAACATCTGTCAGGTCCAGGACACAGGTACTAACAAGGGTAAATCATGAGCCTCAGGCAAAATACAAGTCACCATTTATCCCTGGATAACAGTGCGGTAACCAAGGGCTTCTGCCCTGGGCAATAGTACTACACCTAATCAGCTCCCCATGGTTCTTTTTAGTCCTGTACCCATGCTAAAGTTATAGGGTAGCTATGATAGCCCACACAGACAACATATATCTTCCCTGGAGGATGGTCTCTTCCTCAGCCATTCTCCTACAACTCAGCCATTCTCCTACCAATGGTTAATTGTGGAGGTCACACTTTAAATATCCAAGGAATAACTTATAAATTATACCTCAGACTCTCCCCACAGGGGCCACAATAGCCAACCATCTACAGTGAGGGGCTTGGAGGGTCCAGGGCCAACACCAGGTTTTTGTTGTTGTTGTTGTTTTCCTACCTTTAGGGGCATTGGGGCAGGCACTAACAGATTTCTGTTCATCCCTGTACCTGGTTGGAGAAGGTCATCCTTCCTCTAATAGATCTGGCCACATGGCCTGTCCCTACATGGGTCAGTGACTAACTAGCTAATTCTGTAACTTTCAGGTAATCAACCACAGGTTAAACCCCGATAAACTGCCCAGTATTGGTGCAGATTACCACAGGTGTCACCTCTTTGATCATCACTATGTACACTGCCTTGAGTTCAACTTATTAACTACTTTATCTACACTTGGTTTTAAACCATATGGTGTCAGTATTAGGCTGGACTCTCGCAACAATGAAGGCAGCAGCAGTATTCTCGCTAGACCTATCTGTATACCATGCCCATCAAGAATGGCAGGGGTGCCTCAGGCTCCATAGCCTCACCTTGCATTAGGACTATAGACTTCAAGACCTCTTGTAACTCTGCTGCTAAGGGACTTGTACTCAGTGTACCTCACTGCTGCAAGTAAGTGCCCCACTTTGCTAAAGTGGATGTCTGCACCGTCTTTATCCAGGGGGTGCTTACCTATGAGCGTACCCACCCCACTCATGGATAAGTCATCTGCATGATGATTGTAGTCTGTTCTACCATGCTTTTATGAGCCTGAAGGGCAGCATAGGCAGTTACCAATTGCTTCCCAGTATGGGGATTGTTATTCAGGAATGCACCCATCCCACTATTAGTAACTGCTTCTCTGTTAGCAAAGACTGGAGCTCAGCTCCCTTCCATAGTTGAAACCAAAAGCCTACTGGCATTCTCAGGTGCTCCGTGCACTGCTATAGGCCCTGTATCTGTGGTCATATGCACATCTAGCTACAAGGGCACCTCTGGTCAACTACCTGTAGGGCTTGTGCCTGCTAACTAGCCTGTGTGGCTACCAGGAAGACTGTCTTAGCCTCATCATTCCAATCCCAGGCAAGAGGAATGTTGCTGCTTCTAAATCTGCAAGAGAATCAGAGGTTAACATAACATCATTAAGTTCATGACACATGGTGGGGCTATGCATATAGCCCTGCAGCAACACGGTAATAGTTAATTGTCACTCTCACATGAAGGCAAACTGACAGCTTTCTGCCCCCACCAAGGGCTGCCATAGCAGTAGTCACTTCATTTAGGCAGCACCCACATATGGAGTGAGAACAGCAGCTAGAGAGCCAAAAGCACTCAGGGGCACTGAGCCCAGGACAAGATTCCTCATGTGGGAGGGAAAGTGTTTATCATCTGGCCCCCAGGTATTCAGATCAAATGGCCTGCTCTATACCCATCTCCCAGAGAATTTGCACCAAATGAATATATAACTGTCCTTTACTCACAGTTTATGGTATTTCTCTGGCATCATAGCAAACAGTCCATATGGCAGCCATTAGCCACTCGATTAATGTGTGTTCACCATGCTCTGTGCCAACATTGATACAGCTACAGCCGCTGATGAAGGGAAGGGTGAGTTGTGATAAAAGCCAGCTTTTCCATCTCAGAGGTGGAGCAAGAAATGCTGTCAGCCCCCTCACCCCAAAGGTGGAGTAGCTAGGCAGGGAGGGGTTCTGGGTGCTACTGGCACTGTTTACCTAATTCTCACAACTCAGTGCATGTATGAGCACTATAAGAGGTATGTTCCACCACTTCTGGAGGAGCCCTGGGCACTCCTCTAGATTCCCATTAGATGCTTATGTTCCACCTTCTGATGGATCACAGCATGAGCCCGCAGTGGAGGAGCCTCCTCCTCCTCAGGATCAGACCAATTGGGAGTGTCCAGCCTGGAAGATGGACTCAAGATCATACTAACAGCTGTTGCTAAGTCCTGTTCCAGGCTGTTTATCTGGGCCTCCAGGTACCCTGCTTACACCTGGATGTCCGTCACCCACAGGTTCTGCTTCAAGCTCTGCACTGGGGCCCCCAGGCACATGGATTGTACTGGGAGGGAGGTCCCTTACCTGTGGGATTGAGCATGTACTTCACGCAGGACAGTCAGAAATGCCCATCCAACTCTGCCGGTGAAGGTGCATTCCTTCTCAGTGTTGTGTGCTTCCAGCTGCCTCAGTGCTTTCTCCACACTCACAGGAGACCCATCCACTGCCTCCCACATTTCCAATGGGGCCCATTCAAGCAGCACCGCTGCCACTGGGTGCCACAGCCCATGCTTCAGCCGCATAGCCAACCCGGGAGCCCTCAGGGGCCAATTATCAGGTCCATGACTACACCAAATGTTATGCTTGGGGTCAGGTTCTATCTCATGCTGAGGTCCGAAGGGAGTGAGTGGGTGAGCAGATAGCTAAAAGAACATTTGGAAGACTATAGGCAGGTGAAAGTTAGTTTTATTCAGCAGCTCTCTCATCAGCAGCTTACACACACTAGCTCGCTCACACTGTTCACCCTGTCTTGGTTGCTTTGTCTGGCAGCTCCCACACACAGCTGGATGGCCGGCTCTCCCTTCAGGGTTAGCAGCTTAATTCTTTCTCTCTCTGGGCAGG